TATATCTCTCTCTCTTATAATCTATCTATCCACCTATCAAACAAAATTAAGCCAAATTTGTATTTATCTGTGCATATTCTTGTCTTATTCCATGCCAATATGTTTTCCTCTTTTCCCAGACGAAGTAATGAAGCAGTACACTTTAATTTAACATAGGTTTTTTTTTATATAGGAAATACACCCGCTGCCTCAAGACGTCCGCTTCCCAGGAAATGATTTAAACCGGTCACCGAAGAATTGTAACCATAGAATGCCTTGGAAAGAACAGCAGTCAACAGCTTCAAAAAATCAATAAAACAAATCAATGTATCTTGAACTACCTAATTAGTTGACTTGTTCACTTTACTTTAAACATATTATGTTTATTTTTGTAGTAAATTTTCCAAGTATAATTTATTATTTTGACCGTTTGTTTTATTGATTACGAAAACGAAAAAGGGATGTTTTGTCTCCTCAGAAAGTAAACGTTCACTTCAAACTTGGTTATGTTAATTGATGGTCTCACAAAAGTTAACGAAATGGTTCTTTGAGATGCTTATATCAATAAAAGTATCATGAAAAAGTGCAACAGTGTTTTGTTAGTATGCCTGTAATGTTTCACCAGGCTGCTGTTCATGCTGTGATCAATGTCTGTGGAGTACAGGTGTCTAAATATAGAGGGCCCATTTAAAGGACAATAACTTGGTCCTCAACGCACACATTGAAAAAAAAACTTCGACCACATTAAAATTCAAATTGGTTGACATACATTTGGTAAATATGAAGACAATCTATCAATGTCTTCGAAAAATATCAAGTTTTAAGTATTCCGGTTAATTAAAAGCGTACAGCTTCAGTGACGTGATCGACTCGTTCTGGTTTTATTTTAAAAGGCAGTAAAACGACGACACTCACATCAGATGGATATCTTACTGTGCTGAGAAAGCATTGGTGAAGTTTGGGCAGGAGAAGGTGCTGTGTTGTTACAGTGTGATGGGGCCACACCCCAGATGTCTTGAGTGGCCCTTGTGTGGTTGCAAAAAAAGATTTGGGGAACAAATTAAACGCCGAAAGTTCACAGATGAATAATCGTCACATTAACCCAAACATGAGCCCTTTCAATTATTACTTTTGGGTTTTTTTTTTGACAGAGTGTGTACAGAAATAGGCTACAAACGATCGAACAGTTGAAACGCAATGCTGAACAGGATGTCCAAATAACTGAACCAAAAACATGCCACGAGCTATTCAAAATTTCCAGTGGCGGACAGGAGCTTGTCTGTAGAGAATTGGTCAACACCTGAAGATTTAAATAGCCATTAATTCCCTGAGTTTATCTGGCAATACAAATTTTGCATAAATTTGTTTTACAATGAACAAATTGTCACTATTTTAAAATAAGACAGCATGGTTGATTTTAAGAAGTTGTAACATTTTGCGTTTCACTCAGTTTTGGTACACATTTTATAAAGGTTATATTTTTCTAAAGCGGAAGTTGATTTTATTTACCACATTGACAGATGTAATGTCCTCCTGGTTGAAATATTTCTTCGAGTAACGTTGAAATTGGTTAAAAGATGACAGAGTTATTGCCAGTTACATGGGTCCTCTTAATTCTTTAAAGACACCCGGTACTCGTATTCGTTGCCTTTGCACACAGAAGGCGCGAGTCGATCTCTGAGTGTTGCAGGTTATTTTACGGAGTTTTTCCATCTGTTTGTTGTAAAGCGTTAAAAGTTGCGAGCGCCGTAAATCCTTATACCATACATACATAAAGCGTTAAACAAGTCAGGCCCGGACAGGCAGTGCCAGTTAATGTTAAGTGTGAAAGCTTTACCAAATATATAATATACCCCTCACTTTGAACAAATTAGACAAACTAGACAAATTATGCTATGGTAAATCACCCCCTCTCCACCTCTCCACAAACACAATAACCAATTAACCAACCAGCCAACCAACGAATCAAGCAACAAGCCAATGAAGCAGCCAACACCACCGACAACAAGCATGAATGTAAAAACTAATTACAACCAACGAACACATACACAAAAAAAAATAAATGAAAATCAAAACAAGAACAAAATCGAACCGAAACTAATCAAGAGGTTTTGGGATTTAACTTCTGCGCAAACTCTACTGAATACGTAAAAAAAAAAAGAAGCTTGAGACAAATTGAGAACTTACAAAAAGGAAAGAGCTCGTCTGAAAAGAAGCATAATACAGCAGATTTTCATCACGAACCTAATGGATTTTCACCTGTGAACGGAAATCTAATAATACGATATCGGCAAACAATCTACCGTAATAGGAAGAAAAAGTTCGGAATAGCAAACAGCCGAAATAGTGGGCCACGATGAACAACGTTCACTTACTTCAGAGATGTGGGGGAAGCGAATGAGAACGAGTAGCACGTATCTTTTGATATAGATTCTACATGTTAATCATAATACGATAATCTATACGTAGGCCTACAAGATGAACTAGACGAAAAGAACGATTTATGACTACACCGCCAGACTCGCTGAAAAGTGCCTTAGAGAAAGTTCAAAGAAAGATATAAATGAAACTGGAGACGAAACACACAGAAAGCCTAATAATAATAATAATAATAATAATAATAATAATAATAATAATAATAATAATAATAATAATAATAATAATAATAATAATAATAATAATGATAAAAGTGAGATATTTGATATTTTACTTGCGATCTAGATCTTCTGAAGAGGAGCTACCACTTTTTGATTGCGTCAAAAATCTTGTCTTTTCAGAATTTATACGATTTTTTTCCCAGTGACCAATAATACTAAATTTAGTAGTTTAAAAAGTAGGTACTTTTTACTCTATGGTTTATTGTTTGGCTTATTACCATTACAAGCGGACGACGGAAGCCCGATCCCTCTGTCCCGGTGTTTATGGTGTAGCCGTTAGACACTTTGCTGTCGCACACTGGGAAACGTGAGTTCGATTCATGAGTCGGGAGAACATTTAAAAATTTTTTTTAGCAGAGGTTTTACGGCGCTCGCAACTGCATAAGGTCACATGAGCGCCAGAAGATTAGAGGTGTTACAAGAGAGTAACAAACATAAAAAAGAAAAAGTGGAGATAAGGACAATAGATGTTTGATAGGAAAGAAGAAGCAAACCACACCAAAGCACCCGCCAACCATCCACGAGAACATTTTTATAGAATGTCTCTTTCTTTCTGCTGAGATGTTGTTTTTTTCTCTTAGTTTGGGTTGGCCCTGACAGGCAGGGGCGGACTGACCGTACAGAGTGAAAAGCGCCCGCCTTCTAAATGATCTAAAATTAATTGTGAGGCAACGTGGTGGAATCAGGCTCTCGTCAATTTTTGGGCATAATGAGTTACTGGTATCGTCTTAAAGCTTGTTCATTTGTCTTGCTTTCAATGACAAAAATTACCCATCCATCTTCAATAGAAGTGGATATTTTGGATTGAAGGAGGCGGGGGTCACCTGGTTTAAGAGATAAAATTAGTGAGAAAATGGCCGCCAAAGCTTGGTAAATTCCAAAGCTGGAGAGTCCATGGAAACTGTAAATTTATATTTTTTGTGCGTTTAATCAACGTTTTCGGTGAAATCCGCAGAGGAATGGGTTTGTAAAAGAACATAAAAGGTGTTGAGCTAAAAAACAAAAATTTGATAAAAATTGCTAAGCAGGGAGAAACTGCTGTTTTCTTCGATTTCATTATTTTGACGAGAGCCTGATTCCACCACGCTGCGTCACAAATTGTGTCCATGGGGGTGGGGTTGGAGTAGTGTAAACGCACATCCATAAAACCTCCCCCCCCCCCCTCCGAAAAAAAACAACAAAAAACAATGGCCGTTCGCCACCTCAGAATTAGAACGTTCTACTAGCTCAGTACCTAGTTTTGAGAAATTTGACGTCAAAACCTTTAGAGTTTAATATCATGTCAAGCTTTTTTAAAATGCAATTCTTTGAATATCTTTATAACGACTCCAAGTAAATCTAACAATTTTGATACAGATGATAGAACTGTTGGTTTCTGATCTCAAGGTCTTAATAGCTCAAAACGACAAAAATTGTTAGATATAACTTTATAATGCTCAGGTAGCGTAATAAAATCATATACATGTATTGTAAAACTACTTTACATAAATTACTTGACTGTTGTTTTTGTTTGTCTGTTTTTAAAAATTATTTTCCCATCCTTTCTTTCTTTCTTTCTTTCATTCTTTTCTTTTCTTTCTTTCTTTTCAGTTCAGTTCTTTCAGTTCTTTGTTTCTTTGTTTCTTTGTTTCTTTGTTTCTTTCTTACTTTCTTCTAAGGCGTTGCGCATCCACTGGAAGATGTAGCCCTCTAACACGACCTCCACTGTGTTCTGTCCACTGTTCTCCGTGTCAAGGTTGTATCCGTCTGTCCTCTCGTGTCATCGTGTTACTTTCTTTCTGCCCTGCTCTTGATTTGTGTTTGTTTAGGTAAGTGTTTTACGCAACTGCATAATAAGGTCGCATGAGCGCGTGGGACACATTAAAAATGTTCATTTTGGTAGGAATCAATTTGGAATTTTGCCCGGGTGACGACCGAAGCCTACTTTTATCAGTTTTGGACCACAAAGGGATTTCAAACTTGTGCAGCTTGAGCTCGGGGTCCTCCGAAAATTTTCCCCGTTATCTGAGAAAGTTAGGTGTTAGATCATAATATCATAATATCAAAGGTGTGGATGAAAGACAGTAGTAGTAAAAAGGAGCCAAGGGGCATCAGTAGAACGATTGCAGAAGAGACAGGAGGGAGAGAAAGGGGGAGGGGGCAGAAAGTAGAGACGAAACCAGACGACAGAACATGGTTAGGGAGCAGGAAAAGAGGTGAACGGAGTAGATTTTCGCCGCTGTCAAGTTTCGAACCCGGGACCTATTGAATAAGAAGCGAACACCGTAACCTCTAGACCACAAAAGCCTTGATTGATTTCCTATTCTTGGTCTCCATTCAGTGCATCGGTTTATTCATCTGTTATCTTTCATTTTGCTGATGTGAACCGCGCATTTGTATTTTTATCGGAGTATACCTTTGGAGATATCTGCCACTACTGTTTTCTCTCGTATTTTGAGTGCTTCATTTGATTTTGTATTTTTATATCCAGCATCTTCCTTTCAATTGCACTCTTGTCTTGTCCTTAGCTTCTTTCAGATATTTCTGGTAACTGGCCAGATTTGAAACCCATAGCTTGTTGATATTACTGGGAAAAGGCAATAATACAAAATTTGTCATTTTAGCATTATCGGAAGAGTTTAGTCTGTAAATATTACTAGCTGGGCCCCTTTCGATGAAAGGAATGATGGGTGCATTAACATCAACTGAATATCATTGGTCTACTATATTTTACTCTCTACTGGAATGGAGCAATAAATCTTGAGAGAAAAGTGACACATGTGTTGATAGTTCCCAGTAGAAAGAAAAAGAATTTGACAAAGGAGTCCAGAAAAAGCAATAGTATCGAACGGAAGTACGACTTGAGATAATCAAACCTGGCGGATTTTCTAAAATTACCGAGACAGAAGCGTCGGCCTACAAAAGCGATCAGCGAAATAATTTTTTTTAGGTTTTTGCAGCAAAACTTTCTCAAAACTGAAAAAACGAAGGGTGTCATGATCTGGAGAATATTTTAAAGAATCTTTTGGCGAAAACCGCATGTCGATCGATGAAGCCTTTAAAAAGCATTTTGAATAGCAAAATTCGGCCACCACAAATAGATAATAGATTTGCATCTTTCAAAGTAACTCTAAGCCTCATGTTTCCGTCTGTTCACCTAATTTTTGCTCTATTTTCCAAACTTATTGCTTCGCCTTTTTATAATCTGTCGCCATTTCAATATCCTTGTTTTCAATAGCATCCGTTTTGTCGCTGATCTAGTCTTCATGTATTTGGCTTTGCCTTTGTGGGTTTGAAGGATTATATGCTTGCTCCCAGTTTTTATTATGTAATTTTCTTTAGCTGTTCCCTTTCAGTGTAACGCGCCACATCATCAGCGAATCTAAGATTACTGAGCGATGCTGTTTTAAATATTTATTCAATTGCTGCTGTGGATAATTTGGGTAGATTATGATAAACGTTTTATACTCCCTTCGACAAAGTGCATGTCATAGTGGAGTCAGGCAGCTTTGACACACTGCCTGGGTGGCGTCAGTAGAGACTGCAGGTTTCGGGGTTCGAGCCTCACCTCAGTCCGACATTGTGTCCATGGGAACGAATCTCTATTCAAATTTCTTCTTGGCTCGGTGCTCTCGGAGATGGACTTCATAATCGGAGGTCATGTCTCTTAAGTAACCCACTGATGGTGTTTTTACGGGCATGAAGCCAATACCATTTCACATTTTACTTGACACTGCCTGTCAGGGCCGACCCTGACTGAGTGAGATAAAACATTACAAAGGACAGGCGGAGAAACTCTGTAGAATAACGTACACCACCCGGAGATCAACTGCTGCGTCCTGTGTGCTAATGCAAAGACCACAACAATTTACCCCCACAGACCTTGGTCATTGCATAAACATCAGAACAGTGAGATAGTTTACATTACATACATAATAACAAAGCACAGTCACATTTTTTTTGTACCTCATGCGTTTATTGATATGAGCATCTGAATCTAAAAGATCCACATGTATTTCAACAACGTTTGCGAGTCCATTCATTTGGGAAAACAATTTTGAACATTAACTTTCTCAGACGACATAACATTATTTTTTTTGTTTAGTTTTCGTGATCAATAAAACAAACAGTCGGAATATATAGAATAACTATCATGAAAAAGAAAATACATATTGAAAGCAAAGCAAATCAGTCAACTAAAGATTATACATCTTAATTATATTATATTAAAGTAATTCAAGACATATTAATTTGTTTTATTGATTTTTTAAAAGTTATTGACTGCTGCTCTTCCCCAGGCATCCTGAGGTTACACTTCTTCGGTGACGGG